CACCACCACCACCACGTGCGCTCATGCTCCCAAACAAGGCCACCACCACCACCATCATGCTCCATCTCCTAAACATGGTTAATTAATTTACCATGCATCAAAAATATTATTTGTTACATTTGATGGAATAATTAAATAATTTTTATTTTTTTATATTTATTCTGATGTAACGATTTGGTGTTCTTTAATTACTTAATCGATGTTCATTTTATTACTCGAGTTGTCGTTCATGTGGCACGATTATCAAATTTTATTGGTGTTCGCTAATTTCGAAAGAGTACTTGATCTTTAACAATGTTTTACTTCAAATTAATTTAATTAAACGTGACTTATATATTTGAATTAAAAAAATTCAAAAAAAAAAAAAACCCATACAAAATTACATTTGAAGGGCAAAATTACATGTTGAATTTGGGTAAAAGATTAGTCTCCGACAATCTAGTCAGTAACAAACATTCTTTTTTAGAGTAGAAAGCTCTTCAAATTGTCAAATAATAGAGGTTTAATCCAATTGTACACTCTTGAAATATATCTTTTTAGCACTTTGCACCCTCGAAACACATTATATCACTTTGCACCCATGAAACACAGTATATCATACATAATATACCTCACATGAATTTTTAAAGCTAATAAAGGTAATCTAATATTTTTAGTGGTATTTAAAAATTATCTTTTTTATCAAAAAAATATTTTACGGAAAAAAAAAATCATTCAGCTATTTCCTTATCAAGTTATCTGAAAGTCATATTTTCTGTCAAATATTTCTACCTTATATTTCCACCAATTACAATAAAAGATCTATCAATCGAACAATTTAGTGATAAAAGTTTATTTGATTTTATTTTTCGCCATTTGTGCACTCAAAATTAAGTTGGAGGTTGAAGAAAATAACAATTTAATTTGCTATTTGTACACCGGAAAAAAACGAATAAAAAAATGAATTATCATTTATTATTCAACTCATGGTGCATTGTGAATGATTTATTGTGTTTTGAGGATACAAAGTGCTATTATTGTTTTTTAAAGGTGCAAAGTGCCAAAATGCTCTATTTCAAGGGTGCAAAGTGGAATTAAGCAAACCTTCAAATACTTATTGTTTTCTCTCGTGGGCCTTTAAACTTGGTCATTTGGGCTTCTATATACATACACCATTATTTTAAATAATACATGTTGTAATTGAAATTAGGTTTTAATAGTCAAATTAATTATATACGTATATTATTAATTTAATAATTCATGTAACAATTGAAATTATGCTTTAATGGCCAAATTAGTTATTCTATATAACTTAAAGAAGGCAAACAATGATAATAATAAATATATTAAATAAAAAAAGTAAAAGGTTAATATTATTAGGATGATTTCATATTTATTACTAATGGATTTGGGACTCAAATACTTATGCAAAAATGATTTATGTCATCATTAATTTTAATAACCTCAAATTATTGGAAAGGCCAAATTTATATGAACATTTAATAATTTAAAACTAGTCATATATTAATCAAGGCAAATATTGAGCAAATGCAATATTCTCAATTTTAATTTCCACAAATCCATCATCCCTATATATATTTAACCAAGTTATAATTCTCATATTGCATCACAAAAAAGAAAAAGAAATTAAAAGAAAAAAAACTTTGGAAAAATGTCGAAGTTGTTCAACTCTCTCATGTTGGTCCTAGGTCTTCTGGTTTTTCTCACACCTTCTCTCGCACGAAGCGTAGATGAGGAAGAGCTGTTGAAACACCACCACCACGCCGGCCATGCTTCGCCACCTCATAACCACCATGCACATGCTCCCCACCACCACCACGCACATGCTCCACCGTCTCATAACCACCACGCACCAGCTCCCCACAGCCACCACGCCGGCCATGCTTCGCCGGCTCATAACCACCATGCACATGCTCCCCCCCACCACCACCATGCACATGCTCCCCCCCACCACCACCAAGGCGGCAACCACCATGCACATGCTCCCCCCCACCACCACCAAGGCGGCAACCACCACGTTCATGCTCCCCCCCATCACCACCTAGGAGGGAACCTCGTCCTGGATGCTCCCCCATAACACCCCATCCATGCTCGAGCTCCTA